AGATGGAAATAACAGGTCTAATATTAATGTTAGATCTAGATGTACTGGCGACTTAATCTAGGAATTGTAATCTAGCACCACGAATCAGTTAGTCTCTATTTAAGTTTTCTCATTCTATCAAAACATTTAATATTAAATATAGCCGTTGAGCCTCTAGGCTTATATTATGTTGTGATTACACCCGTCTCCACAGTGTGTGTAATTTTCATTCGAGCAATTTCAGACTTGTCTCCTGTAGTGTTCGTGTAGTTAAACCTATCGAGTTTTTAAATGTGATTTAGCAACTGTCGGTAATTTATATGGTACTGATAAGCATGATTTACCAGCATATACACTCATCTGCATTGATTTTCTTACTGTTGTGTCACATTAATTAACATGAGTATAGGTGGTCTAAATAATGGCAGTTAAAGTGAAACCAGGTCCAGATGTGGTTAACTAGTCCTGAGTTGCAACTATAATTGTATAATTTAAATATAATTTGTGGTTAGGAACTTAGGAAAGTAGAATGCTTCCTTTCATCTGGCAATTTGCATGTTGCAACTAAATAGTGTTGTCAGTATTTATTAATTTATTCTTTTAGCCCGTTATGTCGAAAAAGAAAGGAAAGTACAGGGACGCAAAAGACGTGCATAATTTGCAGCTTCGATGGTGGAGTCAAGCAAATTGATGAGAGCTTTCCTTGCTGGAAGTGATGACACCAGTAAGCCAGCATCTGTTCCTTTTGATGGCAGTAAAAAAAGTCAAAGTGCAAGATTGTGAACATGCTATTTAATTTAAAAAAGAAAACAATGAAGAAACTGTTCTCTATCCCGTTGAAAGCTACAATAATAATAAACAAGAGGATTCCACTTTGTCAGAAACAAATTCACAAAATAGTGTTTCTAAGCTTAGAGAGAATGACCTAATAAATATTTTAACACACAGGGATATTGGATTTATTTAAGCACATCGATTGTTAAAGTTGGAGAACATGAATTTCAACATAAAGAAGGTCCATTTGATGCCAGAGATGGGCGTTCTATGACTGCATTTTGGTTCAAACGACGCCTTCTGAATGGACAAGAGGTCAATTGTTCCTGGTCGGTATATTCACCTCTACATAAAGCAGCATACTGCTTGTGTTGTCTTCTTCTTTCATCTACATGTATGCCATCCGATAGTCGGCCTGCTTTCAAAACACAGGGAGGATTCTCTAAGTGGAAAAAAAATTTAAAAGTTGAATGCCCATGAAAATAGAGACAGTCACCGTGAATCATTTGCTGCTTGGAAAGAAACTAAGCGCCGAATTCTTCCTCAAAGTGGCATTAATGAAGAGTTGCAAAGGCAAATTCAGCAAGAAAAAATAAATGGAGAGATGTACTGCGATGGTTGCTGGATTGTACACAACATTCAGCTTCTCAGAATCTTACATTTCGTGGTCATACTGAGGACATAACTTTAAATGAAAACCCTGGAAATTTCCTGTCACTTTGGCAGTTATTAGCAAAGTATGATCCAGTAATGAGAGAGCATTTCTCCTGAAATCTAAAATGAGTTTATAAATCTCATGGCTTCACATGTGCGAAATTATTGCTTGTCAGCAATGCGTAGAAACAAATACTATGGTATTCTGTTTGATTCCACATCTGATTTAGTCCATTATGAGCAATTGGTCCAAGTGATTCGGTTTGTTAACATTGAATTTAAGACAAGAAAAATAGAAGACAAAGAGTCATTTATTGACTTTATACAGATAAAGTAAAAAGTCGCTGCCAATATTGAGAAAACAATAAGCACAAAATTAGAAGCGGGTGGAATTTTATTGAGTGATTGTTGTTCACAATGTTATGATAATGCTGCTGTCATGTCAGGTCATCTGTCAGGCGTTCAACAAAGAATTCTGAACAAAAATTCAAAAGCAGTGTTTATAAACTGTGACAACCATAGTTTGAACTTAGCATGTCCTCATGCTTCAAGTCAGGAAACAACAATTATTACCTTTTTTGGTATAATTGAAACCATTTATAATTTCTTTGCTCATTCAACAACTCGATGGGACGAACTGCAGCGGGAGCTTAAGATCTCTGTCAAGCGTGAATCAGAAACACGGTGGAGTGCAAGAGAAAAGGCAGTAAAAGTTGTACATGAAAAACTGAATGAATTGCTAGGACTGTTAGAGCAATTAAATGAGAATGACAACACGGCTGAAACAAAATGTGGTGCTCATAATATTCTGCAACGCATGCTTACATTTGATTTTTTTGTATTTTTTGCACTTTCATCATCTATCAATCGAGTACAGAAACGTCTTCAGGACTCAAAAATTAATTTTAGAGAAGAAGCTGCTGATCTTGATTCTTTGACAGAGAAATTGATAGAATCACGTGAAAAGTCCTGTCAAGAACCACTTAAAGTGGGCAAGAATCAATGTGAAACATGGGGATTGACCATTGAAAGAAGAAAAATACGTCGTAAGCGAATGCCAGGTGAAAATGCAACTGATGCTGGATTGGCTGCTGAACAGGAAATTTATCGCATCATGAAAGATGTTATTGATCGCTTGATTACAGAAATAACAGGAAGATTTTCTCGCTTACTAGATTTAGATTCACGGTTTGGATTTCTACTAGATGTGCAAAATATTGTTTCTGGAGATTTCTTAAACGGAAATTTGCAAGGAAAATGTTCTGACTTAGCAA